CTGCCTCATCTTTTAGTTCATGTAAGGTATCATCTAAAAAAGAAAACACTTTCTTTACCTCCTGAGTGCAGCCAAGTTCTTGAAGTTTCTCATTTAAGACAATCAATCCAAACTCATCAACTTCTACATCATGAATTAACTGAACTGTGCCTCCCTTGTATGATGGCCTTCCCATTTCATTCACTCTTCCTCCATAAAGTAACTTCAGAGTAAAAGTATTTTCACAGGTGGCTGAATCTGCTTTATACAAGGTAATATAGTAGGTCAATCATACAATATAGTAGGTCAATCATACAAGGTAATATAGCACAAAATATACATATTCATAAATTGGTCCAAAAGAAAATAAAGACATGAAACCGTAGACAAGCACACACACCCTTGCGTAAAGACTAAATTCAAATGGTCCCATTTCTGAAATGTAAAAAGACAAAGGGACAAGGGAATCTCAATCAAATAAAGTGAATGACTACACTACCATGTGAATTTTAAGACATAAAGGGGGAAGAGGACAGCCTTAACAAAGAACGCATATAATGTAAAGGCAAATATACACTGAGCCTCGGTTCAACCATTTATTGGAAAAATTTCTTTCATAAATTACACACGCCGCTTACCTTTACCACTATCATTTGAGGGAGAAATTCGTTCAGCACTTGTTCCTTCTCCATGTTGCCTGCGGTTCATTCCTATTGTAATCATTCCAGGGGGTCGTTTCCTCATCTTTGTATCTGTGTACAGGTTCTTCAGTGTGGAGGAGGAGTGTAGTTGAGAGGAAGAAATTTTCCTTCGTTCAATGAATAGGTTAGAGGGGGGAGAGAATGTAATCAGGGAGATTAGTTTAGCAGGTAGCCGTTTAAGCTTTTAAATTGACTAAACTACCCTTCAGTTTTGTCATTATAATTCTTACCGGAGGAAATTAGCCGGAAATCTGGCCGGAAGGACTGCGGGTGGTGAGGGGAAAATGGTCACGGGCTAAATGTGGACAATCTAATAGTGAAAGACTAAATGTGGAAGTGGTATCATAGTCAAGGGACCAAAAGTGGAATTTTTTCTTTTAGGAAAGTAGCTTTAATTTAGTAATATTGAAGGCAAAAGCCCATTTTTTTTATCTATATTTGATAATTCTGCAACACTTGTTCGAGCACTTAAGCTTCAATCCAACTGATCTACACTTAAAAATCCAATTAAGTTCGTCTTGTTCCCTTATTTACACATATATATATACTTCGTATTTCATTTCACATTCCAAACATATTTTACGCTAATTGAAACATCTACACCATATATATAATAGTTCTATAAACAAACAATAAAACATTCACACTTGAATCACATGTATTTATAAACCCATTACAATGATTACATCAAACACATTTTCGTACGTCTTTCACAACACATATAAAAGCATTTACACGAAACATAGATTCATTACACCAAGTAAATTTTTCACTGCCGTGTGCAGTACACAATATCGTTTCTTGTTTAAAGTAGCAACATTATTTGTGGTATGTGAATACTATTCGCAGGTGGTCCGGTATCACAATATAAGAGCTTGCAAATGTATAATTTCGAGGTCCGGTATCACAATATAAGAGCTTGCAAATGTATAATTTCGATGGAATTTCATCTTTTTATGGATGAATTTTCCAAAGTAGTAGTAAAACGTACTACCTCCGTCCGTCTCACTAATATTGGGAAGGAAGAGAGTGGTGTGGTTTTTAAGAAAAGTAGAATTATGTGGTTGATAATGAGTTGATAAAGTGGGAATAAAGTAAGAATGAATTAGAACCACACAAATTTTACCGAATATGATATGTGACAATAATAATGGAACATCCAAAAATGAAAAAATGAGACAATTATATACGGGCGGAAGCCGCGGAAGAAGTAATTGTTTTCCCTAAATAAGAGTATGTGTATCAACTATTAAACTGATTATCACAATCAATAATAATTATGTTTATTTGGGGGGCACTCATTGAAAACGTCAACAGTCAACACTTTGCCCTTTTAACATAGTTTTCTTCTACAAGTGCAAATTATACATGGTATACACGGCTCTACGCAGGGCCATCTTTTGGGAGGTTCAATAGGTGTTTGTCACCGGGCCCCACTTTTTTAGGGGGCTCCAAAATTTTCGAATGTATTATTAGTTATAAGTTGATTTTTCTAAAGATTATGTATTATTCAAGATTTAGAAAGGTATATAAATTTTAAATTTTCTAACTTGTGTACTTTAAACATTATAAAACTTATATTTCATTGAATTATCTAGTCTATTTGTATTTCATTGTTAAATTTTATAAATTTTTTCTTGTTTTAGGGGTCTCAATTTGCCATTTGGAACCGGGACCTCCAAATTTATTAGACGGTCCTGGTTGTACGTACAACGGGTAATTTTGTAATTAATTGGAATTTGAATGACAATGTGCTTCGTTCCTTCATTTTATTCTTTTCTTGCGTCAACTTCCTGCTCCTTGTCGCTCGTTTTCTTCTTTTTTTTCTTTTTTATCAACAACTTTTAATTTACATCTAAAAGTAACTCCTTCAAATTAAAAATTAGTCAAATAAGTTTACAATCTGTTTAAAAATATATTTCTCCTAGTCTCTCTCTTCCACTTTTATCGGCTCATAAATATTGAATGCCCACCAATTGTTAGAAAAAAAAATTCAGAGTGAATGATCATTCCTTTCTCGATGATATATTTTAATGTTTGATGCACTTGCACTGTATAAAATGTTAACATATGTATGATTTGTTTATGTGTAATAGTTTTTGTTTATAATTTATTTTAGCAAGTTTTTTCTACTTCTACACTTTTAACAAATTTAAGATAGATGTTTTTTTGTTATCCTTTGAGTTTGATGTTTAAAAATTTTGTGAAGTGATTAAGATGTGCTTTTTCAATGATTTTTCGATACTAATAATATCGACAAACGTGGCTTATTTTATTAATTTGAAGTGTAATGTATTTATTATGTGTGAAATATTTAGATGAGCATGCATACAATGACGAATATAATAATATGATGAATAAGTTGGTTTGTACATAGTGAATATAGCAATGAGTTTTATGTTAATTTTTTTTACTATATTGAAGTGAAACTCTAAAATGTGAGTAAGTAATCTTTTATATACACTACAAAAAACACGGGATTGTCAGGGATTTTTGGTAGGGATTTCTCGAAATTGGCACGGATTTTGGCAGGGATATGTCAAATCCGTGCCAAAAAACAGTTTGGCACGAGCTATTTGGCACGAAATTTTCAGTAAATTCATGCCAAATCCGTGCCAATACCGTGTTTTTATGTAGTGATATGGACACAAATGTGACTAAAAAGAAACAAAATTGGAAAGTCGTAATCTCACCACCAGTTTAGTATGTTACCGACAAATTTTTTTTATGTCACTGTCAGTTTATTATGTCACTACAAAAGACTGCCAGTGTTTCTATTGACATGTTTCTATCGAACATGTCATTGTGATCGTTGTGAAATTCCTGATAATGCTTAGTTGTAAAGTGTCAATATCGTCGTAAAACATGTCATTAGGCTCCTTGTGCGTAGTTGACACTAGTTTAGTCTCTATGCTTAGTTGAATGAATTATCACCATTAACCACTCAGATATGCTAATTCAGGCCGGGGTGTGGAGCTCTTGGGATTGGGGACTCAACCTTCTTAATTGGAACACTAATTAATAAGAATACTCACAATTGAGGAGGGGGGATCTGATTGTGTTATGAACCTAGCCCATACTAGGCTCATACCAGATTACCAGTGCCATGAGCCCAGGTGTAGAACACACTCTAAGTCCTAAAAGACCAGCCGATTAGGAGGAGGGAACACCTTGCTTATAAGCCACCAATCAATCTCATAATTGACCGGTGTAGGATCGTAACAATACCCCACGCTTTGAAGATCCAACGTCCTCGTTGGTCACGACTATGTTGGTCACGGTTGGCACCCCCAAGACCCAAACAACCACTCCATAGGCCACCACTCCGAGTGTCAGGACTAGGAAGATGGGGACGGCTCTGATACCAATTGTTATGAACCTAGCCCATACTAGGCCCATACCAGTGCCATAAGCCCAAGTGTAGAACACACTCCTAAAAGACCAACTGGTTAGGAGGAGGGAACACCTTGCTTATAAGCCACCAATCAATCCCATAATTGACCAGTGTGGGATCGTAACAGATTGTTGGATGAAGGAAGCAACTGTCTCATAGGGTTCGGTAAGACCGTTGATCGACCAAACGTATGTAGAACAAGACTTTTATTGTTGATCGGGGGCGTCAATGTTTGCCAATTACGTTGAAATAGTACGCATAGCCTGGAAATATGAAGATGTGGAAGGGAAATTTTCGAAACAAGTGTGGGAGAACTGATCATCCAGACGTACGACATGATAGTTGTTATTATCATGAAAAATGTCGGCCAAATGAGTCCATGCTCCCATGGCCGTAGATAGGATCGAGAAAATAAACCCGATACCATCATAATGGGCCGTAGATAGATTTACCTGGAGACAATTATGATGGGCCAATGCCCATGGGCTAAAGTTGTCTCAATGAATAATCTAAGCTAATGCCTAGAACACCTCAAACTTTTTAAGACACAGACCAGATTAGACCAAATCAGACTTGAACAGCTATAAAATACATAAAGGCCAGATCAAATTTCAGCCCGATTAAAAACATCCTTAAAATGATATGAAAACAGTTCACATCACATTTCTTTATCACTTTATGCATCATGGCATAACAATGAGCCGCAATAGTCACATACTCTCATTGCATAAATATCACTTCATGTCTCAATGTTAATGTCTCATGTCATTGCATCATGACATAGTATAACCAAGTGCATTGTTCAGCTGTGTTCGATGTTCACGAAATTGTAAGTTGCAACTATAATGTGCACAGCAATGCACACTGTAATCATATGTAGCCATGTAGGGGTCTACATATAATTCATATGCGAAAACAAAACAATTGGTTATTGAACATTAATAAATAGTCACTTCAATATTCTCATCATAGTAACCAGCAAGTGCAGAAGGAGAACTGGAGAAGAGGCAGGTAAATGGTGATATCATTATACTTCGAATCTGATACAATTATTTGATAAAAGGGGGGAAATTACATTATTGTAAACAGTACACACACTAGCAGGTCCTGAGAGAAAAGGTAAAGAATATTCAGCATCTCTGACGGCCTGGTCTTAGACACCATTCTCAGTTGTTCTCCTTAAAGAAGTGAAGCTCAGCCTGAAATTATTCAGCCAGTAAATAAACATAATTTATACAAGTCTAGAAGACTAGAACAGAAGTGAACGACAAACTACATAAAGTACCTTATCATCGGCTTTTGAGTATTAACTAATGCCGGTGTAGTTGCCATGCCCGAAGGTGGAGCATTCAGTTCAGCAGGCTTCATTTTATTGAAAGAGGAGAAGAGGTAAAAATAAGAACACAATATTAGAAGGCTACAATATATTACAGTTGCAACCTTTCCATGTATCCAATAGAGGAAGACACGTAGAATCCATGTATCCAATAGAGGAAGAGACACAGAATCCATGTATGGTGGTGTGTTACTTGGGCAATACAAGGGCATAATAAAAGAAAACATCAGGAAACATATACTCCCTCATTCACAAAATTCATTCATTTCATTCATTTTCATTTACCCATTTACCCCAGTGCAGAAAGGCTCCCACCTACGGTGGGGTAAGGGGGGTCGGATGTACGCAGTCTTACCCTACTAAGGATGTTTTTACTTGGACTGTAATTTGCTGGTCTGATCTGGTCTGGTCTGGTCTGGTTTCTTTGTATTTTTATAACTATCCAAGTCTGGTTTGGTCTGGTCTGAACTGGTCTGGACTGGTCTAGGGCAAATTACAGTCCAAGTACAAACATCCTAAAGCACAGAGACTTTCCGGATGACCCATAGTGAAAATCGCGTCCAAAATTGCATAGAATGACCGTTGCTTCATAACAAAGAAGCAGAGACAGTTTAGTGAGCCATTTTGCTTTATTCCATCATATTCTCAAGCCAAAAAATAATGAATCTTTGGCTCCATTGCAAATGATGGAAACCCTCATTCACAAAAGAAAAGAAAAAAAACAGCTCGCTTTTGTCCAGAAAAAAGAGCATAATTTGATCAAATGAAGCTAATTTGTCATATAACTTTCTAACATTGCCCAATAAAGTCACATACAAATTAAATAAGATAGATTTATACTCTGTATATAATTATTATATAAGACAGTCTAGTGCACATTGACATCCCTGCAAGGCGAGGAGTCCGAGGAAGGGTTCCACCGCAAGCAGAGGCAGAGGTAGGGGGCATGCTAGGCCCACCCCAAATTTCAAAAAACAATTCATCATCAGGGTGAAAATTTTATTGCAAAAATTAATCCAAAAAAATATCTTTGTGCCGGCCTAGCCCAATGCCCTCACTACGGCCCAACCACAAGGGTGTATAGGGAGCAAGCTTTCCCTTGTCACTTTCACAAAAGGCCACTCTCAAGACTTTAACCGTGACCTCTCGGTCACATAGCAACACCGTAACCGGTGCACCAAGGCTTCCCTTCTATACAAATTAAATAAGAATATAAGATTGATTTAGCTTAAAGAAAAGAAAATTTTATACTAGTGATACATGTACCTTACCAAAACTAAAATGTTGTGTATTGATGAAACATGGCTCTTTTTTAGATAGAAGTAGTAATAACAAGTTTAAAGTTAGCAATGCAAAAACCTCAAGCTCTTCCAAGCTTTCATCATTCAAAGAATGAGAAGAATTGCCAGTCTCGTCCCCTTTATCTGAAGCTACAACTGCTTCAGCTCCTTCCTTTTCCGGTGTATCAAATAAAGAGCATCCTCTATCATTCAACTCTTCATCTCCAAGCCCATCAAAAGGTTGAGAGGAATCCGGTTGGTCAACAATTGGCTGTAAAGATTGCTTGGCAAGGAGCCTCTCTGTCATTGCTTCACCTGGTAAAGGTATGGCAGGTGATGATCTGATTCTGATGGATACCACCTCAGCAAGGCCAGAGCTGCTTGAGGTGTCATCAACATCAGCTGCTTCCAATCTTTTTGCCTCTCTGGTTTCACTCGGCAAAGTTGCATCACTACCACATAAAACATCATCCTGTTTTCTCTTTTGGATTACAGTGGGCGTGACTCTAGCAGTAGTAGAAGGTGGCTTTGCAAGTTGTGAGGGAGGCCTAATTCCCCCAGGGAAGACGAAGTTAGGAATGTTTTTTCGTTTTACATGGCACACACGAATTGACATTGTTGATTTCCAGAAAGAGTATTGATATACATCACGTTTAAAATCCTCAACTGTCAGCCTTATATCGAACTGTTCACCTTGTTGAGGATTAGTTCCTTGTTTTCTACGTAATCCCATGAAGTAAGAATGATGAAATGGTTTGTCTTTATCTGAAAATTCTCCAGGACAGGGGTGGCACTGAAGTACCCCACTCGTGTCCCTCTCAATCTGGATGATGAACATAAAAATGAAAAACAATTAACTGTTGGTTGGTGAGGTAGTTTTTGGGCCATCCATTCATAAAGGTATCTAGTTCCTGTTTCATTGGGATATCATATTTGTTTATTGGATCATGTAAATGGAGATCTAACGCATGTCATTCATGTTCACACAGATTTTTATTGATTGTTTATTAACTACAACATCGAAGCCTTAGTCCCATAATATTTTGGGGTAGACTAGCTACATGATATTGGAGCCAAAAAGAAAAGAAAGATAAAAGGAATAAAAAGATAAAGTAAGATACTAAGATCAAATGAATAAGATAAAGATATATATAAGATAAAAATAACATAAGAACATGTTCAAGATAAAAGATAAAAAGTTAAAAGAGCATAAGAAATAAAAAAATAACATAAGAACATAGAAATAAAAAAGAAGATAAAAGATAAAAGAAAATGAGAGTGAAAAGAGAGAAAAGAGATCAATCGTCCACATGGAAAAATGACATAAGAACATAGAAACAAAAAGAAAAGATGTAAAGGGTAAAAAGAATATATATGTATAAAATAAAAAAATAAAAAATAAAAAAGGGTCAAACGATAAACATAAGATATATAAAGGAGAAAAGATAGAAGAAAAAAAGATCAATCTTCCACACGAATATTCATCCTCCACTTTGCTCTCTCCAAAGTCATACTCTCATCCAACCCAACAAAACAGTTCGTGTTGTTTATTAACTGTAATCTAGTTGTAAATACCAATTTATTGAGTAAAAAAGTAAGAAAAAGATAAACATACATACAAGAGATAACTCTAACCTTCAGAGTAAGCATGCGTATTCTAGACTCAACCCAGCCTTTCCAATTCATCATTTCATCGTTATTCTCAGCAGATATGTCTATTTGCAAATAATTTTTGTAGGCTTCAAAAAAGGCAAAATGCTCAAAGAGATTCAGCCAGCTTGCTCCGCTTGCCTCTATTGCCTGAGCAAACGTATATTAGTCAGTATAGACCCCTAACCAGTTACGAGGCTACGAGCATTGCAGATAAGGATTGAAAAACGATCAACAAAGCACATGTTTAATATGCACTTGCAGTGGAACTTGAAATTATAAACTACCTTCCAAAACAGCTTTTGGAGAAAAGAAAAATAATAACCACAGCAACTTCCTAATAGAAGCATATAAATGTCATAAGACAGACTTCTTTTTCCCACAAAACATTGTGTAAATGCAGAAATCTCAGTATGAAAAAAACAATGAACGGTAAGTCAATTTGTAACTGGATGAATCTCAAGAAAAACTGAATGACTATAGTTTCTGGCGATACAAACATAACACATCAGTCACAAATATTAAGAACTACAGCTTGCACAAAATCAAATCTATCACTCTTCCACTCAATTTAAAAGGACAAAATGACAAAAAAATTACGACAGAGATGCATTGAATAACAGTGTAGTTCTTTCCTCTAGAAAACTAGAGTTTACCTCACAAATGTCCTTTCCTCTATGGAATTCTTCTGTCATCACGCGTAGTGTGCTTGTGGATACATTGTAACTAGAGTTCATGCAAGGATATGCTGGGGTTATTATAGGCATTAGGTGTGTCCTGTCTTTGAAATTTCTCCTGGGGTCCCAATATGAAAGTCCTAGAGACCCTTCATGAATTGGACAAAGCAAAACAGGGTTTGGCCAACGCCACATGCTATAAACCCTGAAGAATCGAGACACCAACATGCTAGGAATTGCATTAGGATATAGTTGGCAAATGCGAGCTACAAGCAGTGCCCAATTAATGCCACCAAGAAAGCCAGTAACCTAGTCATAATAGAGGGGGAGAGAAAGATTAGCATAGAGAGGTAAACAGCTACATGAACATCTCCGTATTTTGATACATGTAATGCATATACACAGATAGGATTAACGGCAAAAAGTTGAGTCACTTATTAATTATATAATTTCCTCACATTTGAGTAAACTCCACGCCGCTTTGCCCACAATCTCATACATCTCAATGTAGTACGAAAACTCTACAAGAGCAAAATGAAACACATTTAGAAATAAGGCAAAAACAGCATGTTACTCCACACAATTGTCATCATAAGCACCTTAATATTTGGAACTAAATGTAAAACTTGATCAGTAACTCTGCACCCATTAAGACTACGAACAGTCTGCTCATCTACACCATGCAATATGGATACTTGTGAAACATCCAAGTCCTACAAGGAAGAAAGCATTCAAAATATGCTACACAGTCTCTAACTTCTATGTACACTGACATCCTCCACAGAATACTAAACTTGATAGGTTCCATTACTAAAAATCCGCACTCAAAGGTATTAGATGTAATATTATAAGAGTGTTTACACAAATCCAGAGAAATATTTCAATATTGTGTAACAAGGAAAGCACCTCAGGGATAACCCAGAGTGCAACATTTGCATAAAGAAGGTCTATAGATATTTCATTAAACTTGAATTTCATCACAGGAACATGAGCATCAGGAACAGGGTGTAACTCCTGGATCTCATCCATCGCGGACAACATATTATGAAGCTCGCCAAAGAAGTCCTGCAAATAAGATAAATTTTTATTAATAGTTTATTCAGTAAAAGTGGGAAAACTAAATATTGAGATAATAAAAGTTTCGCAACCTACTTCTCGAGTAGCATATCTTGGTCCCACACATAATGTGTCAATATCTGCACCAGGGCCATGTACCTATAAAAAGAAAAGGTTATAGTCTCTCTGAGAATGTTTACTCGTATAGAAAATTTGATAATGATAAAGAAACTATCCTCAAGAAACATATTATATCACACTAGCAGTTCCACGCAAAAAAATACTCAGTGACTTCTTGATCCATTACTAAAGTTATGTGTCACCGCATTTATATCTAACTGAATGCTAAAGGTCCATTTGAAACATGGAAAATACAAGGTAAAGACAATAGGGAAGAAAACGTCAATGCAAGAATGTTTTGGAAGAAAATCAAGGACACACTCAACAACAGCAACAACATCCAAGCCTTAATCCCAAAAGATTTTGGGGTCGACTAACATGAATCGATCCATGAGATCGATGCCAAAAAGAGAAGACAGACGAGAAGGGAAAAAAGGATAATACGAATAAGATAAAGATAAATAAATATAAGATAACAATAACATAAGAATATAAGAAAGATAAAAGATAAAAGATTAAAAGATAAAAGAGCATAAAAAAGCTAGAAGGTAAAAATAACATAAGAACATAAAAGACAAAGATGATAAACGATAAAAGAAAATGAGAGAAGAAAAAAAAAAGATCAATCGTCCACACGAATGTGCACCCTTCACTTTGCCCTCTCCAAAGCCATACTCTCATCCAATCCAAGAAAACACATATCAGTTATGATTCCTCTAATCCAAGTCTGTTTGGGTCTTCCCATCCCTCTCCTCTTTGTTTCTTCTCCCCACCCCTCAAGTCAAGGCATCACTCGATCTTCTACGCACATACGCATCTCTGTCACACTCATCTTTTGAATGTGACATTGTTTCACCGCCCAACACTCTATGCCATACATCAATACAGGCCTAATTGCTGTTCAAACTCAATAAAATTATTCAGATGTTCGTTCAAACTAATTTTATTTATATATTATTTATTTCTATTATTTAAAGACAGAAAATTTAAATATATGATTTTAAGGAAATTAAACATATATCATTTCCTATGCTTTTTCCCGGGTAAGCCGAAACATAATAAAACAATTCTTCTAGATACTGCTTTCCCCTTCCTAGGATTGTCCATGAGGGTAAGAACAAAGTCAGTTGAAGAAAAATTGTACGTCAATGAACTATGTGGTTTTATAGTCTTTTTCAAAGGATAGACATGACAGGGCATTATAGAACCAAAGAGAAGCAAAAATGTAAACTGTCCCTTCTGGAATCATACACTGATGCTTAGTACTACCATTTGATCATTGAACCACAGTAATTTCCTAGCAGCCTTTCCAGTCTGTTAGCCCTTGTAAAAAATTGCCAAATGATGTGCTATGCGTACAGGAAAGAGAAACATCAAGGAATGACATGGTTCCAAAAATCGGCCTAGGCGCCGCCTAGTAATAGGCGGTGACCGGGCGCCCCGATTTCATTATAATCGGTGGAAAAAATCATTTGGGTGCCTAGGCGATGGCTAGGCGGTCCGAACTAAATTTTTGCCTACCCAACTTACTTTTTCTGTTTTATCTTAAAACATCATTTGATCAAGAAGTATTCTATTCCTGTATAAGTTATTTTCATATTCCTACAATAAAAAATAATTTTTAAATATATATATACTTTTTAGAATGTATTTTAACATATTTAGAGACTAAAAAACACAAATATCTTAATTTAACTATTTCATTATTGATGATTTTACTATAAAAACATAACAATTAATGATTATATGAGCTATTTCTATTGTCAAAATATAATAAAATTATTAGTAATATAATTAAGATTCAAAGAGAATAAAAGTAAAACAAAGAAATAAAGGGAAAATACCTAGGCGCCCGCCTAGGCGCTAGGTGGCCAGTCACCGCCCGACTAGCGCCTAGCCCCTTTTAGAACATTGAGGAATACCCAATATTCATGCATGAAAAACATCAGGTTTCAATGGCATATATGTTTTGATGACTAATTTACTCATAAAAAGCCTCTAAACATGTTTGTTCGCTATTAGAATGTATTTTAACATATTTAGAGACTAAAAAACACAAATATCTTAATTTAACTATTTCATTATTGATGATTTTACTATAAAAAGATAACAATTAATGATTATATGAGCTATTTCTATTGTCAAAATATAATAAAATTATTAGTAATATAATTAAGATTCAAAGAGAATAAAAGTAAAACAAAGAAATAAAGGGAAAATACCTAGGCGCCCGCCTAGGCGCTAGGTGGCCAGTCACCGCCCGACTAGCGCCTAGCCCCTTTTAGAACATTGAGGAATACCCAATATTCATGCATGAAAAACATCAGGTTTCAATGGCATATATGTTTTGATGACTAATTTACTCATAAAAAGCCTCTAAACATGTTCGTTCGCTATTGGGAGTATATAAAGAATACCTACCCAAATAACTCAAATCACAAAGGCTGAAAGGCCTATCCACCCTTTTGTATTCTATTAGAAAACAAGGGAAGATCAAACTATGCCCAATAAAACCATCTTCAAGCCTTCCTGGAAGCTCCCAGCTTCAAATATATGTAGATTACATCAAAGTGGATTATTATATCATCATCTTTTCCTATTAAATTTTCATAATTTTCAATCTTTAATGGTTACATATGAAAATTGCATAGGAGTTCAAATAAACACTACGCGTAACGGCAGAAAGCTCGTGTTATAATGTTATATCCAATGCAATGTTACTCACAAGTCACAAGAACAGTTGGGAACTGTTGACCAGTTTACGAAGTTTGATCCAGCATACCAAGTGTAAAAGACTTGAAGCGATTAGACATTGAAATGAAATAAACAATGCTCAATGTAGCAACTATAAAGTGTGGTTTTACTCGGTGAATGGGTAAATTTTATCTAAACCAGTAATCAAGAAACTTAAAACGGGAATATGTTATTGTAAATGAAATTTTCGGCATGTAAAAGGTCACATATCCATGATGAACAAAAAAAAAATAAACCAACATTTCCTGCTAGTTAACGTGAGAAAACACACAAATAGAAAAGCAAAAGTGCTAAGTAGAATGCATACCCCCAGCCGGTATGAACCAAATGTGAAAATTTTTGCATTTGCTTCCTGTGCGAGATGTTCACTATGTCCTTTCGCACGACTGACATTTCTTACCCACTTCTTTACAATCTGATGTAATCCCATCAATTAGCAACCTATGCATAAATCTCGAAACAAAAACTCTAAACAAATGAAAAGTAACAACCTGATCCAATCTCCCGAGGACTTCTTCCCTTCTAATGGCTTCTTCTTGACTTTCATACAGTCCAGCATCTGCAAGAAACTGATTATAAACCTTTTATCAGAAATTGACCACCAAACTTCTCACGGTATGATATCTTCAGTAATTCTTATTTGAAATATAATGTTACCAGACAGTACAAGATTTATAGACTACATAAAAATCCCTTGTCTAAAATTACAAGGTTAACACCCAAATAACGACATACCTCTTATCTATGCATATATAATACGGGGTAACAATTATAAGCAACCGCTTCCTTTTATATTAAGTGATTATAACATCAAAGATATGTATTTCAATTGTAGCACTCTACATTGGTTGAATCCTAGCAGACCCATTATTTCTTGGGAAAAGTTGTAATCTGATAAAGTACTGGCAGGTCAATTTCCAGATATCAGAACCGCGGTGAATGAATATGCCCTACAAAGTATTCAGTACTTATTGGTGCTCTTGTAGTCTTGTGTGAAGTACCTTTAATTTTTTTCATTTTTCATACACTTCATAGCTTTAATTTTTCTAACCTTGAATCTTGATGGTTATTATAAAATTCAAAGTTCAGTATTTCTCAGCCCCCGGGTTTGCAAATCTCTTTTTTCTCTTAATTGATCCAATTTCCCTATGCAACATACGTAATTTACTAAACCTTTCCCTGAGGTAAGAACCCAAGCAGGTGAGCATGCAAAAACACAATAATTGAGAATTAAGGAAGGAGTAAATGAACCAACTTTTTCCAATTCGTTGTTCTTCACTACATCAATCTCTGTTGGGCCACCAGTAGATATTGGTTCTGATACTCCATATACTGTACGAGTAGCTGTGTTAGCTGGCTCACTCATCGCAGTACTACTCATCATCTCCTTTTTAACAATTCACAATGTATTGGTTTTTATTTATTTTTTTTAATTTTTTTTTATTTTTTCCCCAACTGCAAAACACAATACCTCGCAAAAGTTATGAAGTACGGATACGCCAAACCTTGTGAGAACTCGCGTGTAAGATGCGCGGACACGCCTAGCACACAAGCCGGGGACTCCAGGTGATGTATGGTTGACCGGCAATGAGGTCAATGGCCGGAAACGCTTCTGGATACGAGGGGTTCCGGCCGTGTTAGTTGCTAGTTAGGATAAAAGTGGGGAGTTTGAAGTGGAGTTTTTCTTTGCCGGAAGTGGCAAGATATGATGCAGCTGGGTCGGGTCAGATGCACACCCGACGGGCTAAAAGGGGCATCGGGGTTGAAAGCAGTCGGTAGGCAGATTCGGGAGTTGTTTTGATGGGGTGAGGGGTCTGTCTTTTCCTGCAGACGGGTGAATTACGAAGGTGGCGAGAGGGAAGCTCCGCCCCGACTCGTCAGGGCAGCTGTGATTTTGGGAAGAGTCTGGTGCTCAGATCTCTTTGACACTTTTTAGGACTTTCATGCCCTTGTTATTTTGGCCTCTTTTTTTCTTTGAAAGATTTTGGCCTCTTTTTAGGAGAAAAGATATGAGTAAGAAGCATGTTCTTTTCATCTTATTCTTATTACTTACTCCCTCCGTATCAAATTACTTGACTCACTTTCCTTTTTTGAAGTATCTAATTAATTGACTCCTTTCCTTTTTTGGAAAGAATCTCACTCAAAAAGCAGCTACAGTACCGCTACAGTGTCGCTACAGTACCAAAAACCTCTTACTTTTAATAAAGTCTACAGTAATTGTCTTAAACTGCGTGAAAAGCAAATGGGTCAATTAAATTGATACGGAGGGAGTATTACTTATTCTTATTTTATTCAGATCAGATCAGATCAGAAAGATTCAGATCAGAAACATTCAGATCAGATCAAAGAGATTCAGATCAGATCATACCAGAAATATTCATATCAGATCAGAAAATTTCAAACATGATTTATCACTTTATTATTATAATACTTATAATATTATTATTATTATTATAATTTATATTATTATATTATACTTATTATTATTGTTGTTGTTATTATTATTATTATTATTATTATTATATTCCTAAACTAATAATAATTATTATTATATTATAATAATAATAATAATAGTTATTATTATACTATAATAATAATTATAATAATAATTATTATTAGTATTATTATACAGAGTATGGAATAACTAAATTCATAATTATAGTTATAATTATAATTGTAATTATAGTTGCAATTATAATTTTAATTATAATTACATCTATAAATATAATTGTAATTTAATTGTATAATTAATTATAATTATATCTATAGTTGTAATTAGTGTAATAGGTATAATTATTATACTTTTAATTATAATTATAATAATTATTATATATTTTTTATAATTATTATTATAATTATATTTTATTTAAATTATATTTTTAATTATAATTATAATAATTATAATTATAGAAATATTCAAATCAGATCAGATCAGAAATATTCAGATCAGAAGGATTCAGATCAGATCAGAAAGATTCAGATCAGATCAGATCAGATCAGATCAGAAAAATTCATATCAGATCAGAAAAATTCATATCAAAATATCAGATCAGATCAGAACTTAAAAAATTCTGATCAGAAACATTCAGATCAGGTGAAGAGAACAGCTTATAACTTAACTCTTACTAAAAACGAGAACAGCGTAGTAAGACAAATTATACTGTGGGATCCTTACACTGTGTGCACGGTGTTCCAACACCAATACGATGTCGTTTAACCATTAAAACAAGCAGCGCGCAAAGCATCATTCCCACCTATTTCCCTTTCAAAATGCACGTACATGACAGACACGCTTCTACTGTGCTTCTCCGTCCCCAACGACATGTGCTCTGCGATTTCTTTCTAGTGTCCAATGGCTTTCTTAGAAGCCTTAACGGCAAACAGGTGGAGCAAAAGCCATGAAGAAAAGCTGTTTTTGGGCCATTCTTCTAGGTCTTTCTTTCTTCTGGGTCAAGCCGTTTGTCGGAGCTCTTGCCGCCTACAACCTGTACATCTTGACAGCTAGCGTCGTCTCTGAGAGCTTTCGGCAGAAACACCAACGGATCATTTTGGATGCGTTGGATATACTCCGTATCAATTACATAGTAAACGTAGTTCGGAGCAAATTAATCCAATTGTCGGGCTTTGGGTCTTCATATTGGTGCAAATTTATCCACATATAGCACGTTTGTTTATTAATTGATATGATGTCTATTTGATTTGCTGATAGTATAGATTTACATTTCTGCACTGGAATTACATTTCAATTTGGCTAAAGTTACATTTTGTGACATGCGGTTTACATTTCAAATTTTCTTGATAATTTACATCTTGCTTACACGTGATTTACATTTGTTATACTGCAAGTTACATCACAAAACAATGCAAGTTACACAACAAAATAAACCTCTGTTATTCAAACAATCTTGTACTACCTTCGTCCCACTAAGATTGGGACATGAGAATGTGGCACAATTATTAAGAAAAGTAGGTTTGTGTGGTTGATATTAGATTGATAAAGTAAGAATAAAGTTAGAACGATTTAAAGCCACACAATCTTTACCAAATATGGCATGGGACAATCTCAGTGGGACTTCCCGAAAAGGTAAAATGAGACAATCTTAGCGGGACGGAGGGAGTATTTATTAAAAAACGTTTTTAATGGCCATATTTTAAAAACAAAACACATACACTATATATGTAAAATAAGGGCAATTAGACTCTTTTTCCATTTTGTGCATTGAAGTCAATGTTTAGACAAATTACATTTCAATTTGTCTCAAGTTACATTCCTTATCAATGAGAGTTACATTGATTTAAGCACGAGTTCTGTCACGCCCCGGACCTACCCGGACACGTCAACAACCTGCCATACAATACGAATAGTCAATCATAGTCAAACACATCCATATTATACAAGGCGTCATTAATATCATTCACGCGTAAGTCATCCATAAACATACATAATAAGTAATTCAATACGCATCGTAAATATAGTTTGAAATCAAATGCCACGCGGGGCAAACATGAGCACGCGGGCTCTAAAGTAAAATATTCATGAGCAAATTTATTAATGTTCAAATCAGAATGAAGCATGGACCAAGTCTTCTCTTCAGGAAATCACTCGATCAACGAGCACAAAAAGCAAGTTTTAGCCTCAACCTGAAATGGTGGTGGGACGCCCTCGAAGGAGTCAGTACTCTATAGGGATATAAAGTATTGGTGTGGATGACATCTAAGAGATATACAACAAGTATTTCAAACATAAGATCCCCAAATATGGTGATAGTAGAATATGGTTGTAACCCTAAGTTACCCCGTTGAAAAATATACTTGCTTTATATAAAAGTCAAGTAGTCAGCCCGTGGCCCCATGTTCATTTCGAAATCACCATTCTCATTTCCCGTGACTATAAGCCACGACAACTCATAGAGTCCAACCCTAATACATTACATTGTATCATAGAGTTCGGCTCTATTACATCACCATACAATTAATGTCATTTGGGTCAATTATTTTATCTTGCATTCTAAAGCTCGGCTCTATCACATCACCGTGCAAGCCCTACAGCTCGGCTCTATTACATCACCGTGCAAGCCCTATAGCTCGGCTCTAGTTATACAATACATAGACTACAAGTCTACCACCTTACCATGCACCCTAGAGCTCGGTTCTATTACATCATCATGCACTAAAGCTCAATTCTTAAGCAAACCTATGCCTAGAATTGACATATCAATACTACCTTGGGTCATCCTTAAGAACTACCCATAACTTAACCTTAGCTTCATACTAAGTCATTTTATACACTTGAAGTATATTCAAGTGCATTGCATACAATCCAATCCTTGGGATCAATTCTATCAACACTTTCCAATAATCACTAACTACTATTTCAATACTATTAAGATTATTATCATCATACAAATATTCTCATTTTGTAATTCCCTACATATTTATAAGTATGTCGCAGCAACTTAAGTATTCAATTTCAATACATAAATATCCATTTATGTATCCACATAATTCATACATGAGTACAATGCCTTTTTCACAAAATAGTTGGCTAATAACTCATTTAATCTCATATTATCCGTACAACCTCAAATCATTTCCAATTTCATTCATTGTCAACTATATCAATATTTCATCAATATTTAAGCATCATAATCCACAAAAATTATGATTTAGGCATTTAGGTAATCTCATGTTTAACCTACAAGTTGTAAGCAATTAGATGTCGATCCTCACCTTAATTGAGCTTTAAACTTTTCCAATGGTCAAAGCTTTGGTCAAGGTGGATTAAGAACTGATTCCTTGCTTAGAAAGGAGTATTATACAGCCTTCTCAAAGTGCTAACTCGCTCCTAACCGAAGGTACAAAAACAGCCCCTAGAATGGGTGTTTTCTGGCGAACTTGTTTCCTAGTTTTTCCAAGGTTTGTTCTAGGTTAGTATCTAACCTTTACATCAACAAAATAACTTTATAAGGATATATTATACACTTGAAATAGTGTATAATAGTTCCACCAATCGTTCATATCATTAGGAAAATGAAAAGAAAGATTTTGGGATTAGAACTCACTTTAGAGAAGTAAATCTGTCCCTGCGCGTTTGCGTTTTGTTCGGACGATTTAGAAGTCTTACACTACTCCGTTTAATGCAAACCACACCTTTAAGGATTCCTTATCTTGAGAGATTTCATTTGGCACCTCACACGCCTTATTTGGATGAGTATAGCTCGAGATACGAACCAAACAAGATCAACACTCTCACTTCTCAAGTTCACTCAACCTCGATTATTGTCTGTAAGACTCACTCCTCTTGCTCAGAAACCATTCAATAATAAAACTAGACTTCAAAGGCTATCTAGGTACACCTTAATCACCTTATTTAGACGAATAGACTCCAATTATGGAGGGAGACAACGAGCACACTCATTTTGTGCGAAAATAGACTAGGTGAGTCTTCCCCTTTAATCTCATGGTCAAGTTCAGCCCCCAAAGTCAGTTGTGGCCCCCCCTAACATTATTTTTTTTGTCTTGCAGGTTCAAGGAAGATATGGGACGTACCTTGGTGTTCCCCAATTATTTTGGGAGCAAAATATCAATCAATACATCCAAAATGGAAAAATGGGTCATATTGTTTTATCTTTTGTCAAAAGATGTCTTTTTGTACTCATTCTAATTTATTTAGAACAAGTTCCTCTCTACATCATATTATTGATCTCCAATATGTGTAGGATCGTCCTAATAATTTATATGATGAAAATTATAGAAGAATATCTACTCCCATTATTTAGCTCAATAATGTCAAAGATGGGACCATAAGCATTTGTATTCTTCTCTAATCATCCTATCACTTATTTATGACATTTGTATTTATATTATGGGGCTACAAGCCATGTGGGTCACCCTCGAGTGGGCCTAGGATGTCATTCTTGAATACTTACTATTTTTAGCAGGTTGAGCCCAAAGTAGTGTTTGGGCTGTCCGACCTTCCTTAATTTGTATCGACAAGTTATGTATCATTATTTAGAAAATGTTGGGCTCTTATATTCAATAAGATGGACCCAGGTAAGTATTTGAAAGCTCATCACTAATATACGAGCTCGAACGGTAAAATAATCAAACGTGCACTGCGTAAAACATTAGTCGTTTTACATTTGTTTGGTAAAAGGAAATGCAATACGTAAAATTTGAATTTTAAATTGAATTTCAAGGACGTTTGGGTGCGGTGTTACAAGTTCCACCAGCCTGGTGTTGAAAAGAAAAATAAGAAGTCTGGGAGCTGGATGCTCTCCGTGAGCCACTCCCACTGTATACCAACTCAGATACAAAGCCGCCATATTAAATAAAAGTTACATATGGATGAAACTCGGACTTGGAATCACGCCTAAAAAGGGCTCAACTTGCTTTATCCTAAAAGGCTAAAGTGGCTAAAGAGTTATGGAAAGGCAAACGGAAATATGAAAGACAGTTTCCAGATTTTTTCAGCCATTACCAAGCAAAGAGCAGTTTGGTCAGCCTCCGCCAAAGGTCCCACTTTCTCATCACCAAGATCCACAATCACTAACGGTGTTCTCCAGACAGCACCGTCGACGTTTCTTTTATCTGCACCATCAACATGAATGTTTGCTTGAGCACCATGCTCGCAAACCATTTCAGTGACTTTGCGCTTCCATGGTTCTTCCGGCGGAGTAGCCACTTCCTTAACCTTTGAGATTAGACCTTCCACCACATAGGTGCCCTGATCAACCATGGTTCTCCCCATCAGCCGTTCTGTCACTTACCCCGTTGTTGTTAGGAATCAGCCACTTGTTTCTCATGTGCAAACCACCTCGTCTCATATGGTTAATTTCTCATCAATCCAAGGGCCACGGTGTAGATTAGAAGGGCAGAAACAGTGTGCTTGACGAAGTATCCCACACATGAAGCGGGAATTTGGGAGTCTTTCCTGTCGAAAGTCTGCCCGTATACAATTGTTCCCCCTCTCTTGTCGTACTTGAAAGCGCATGGTCAAAATCACATTGATGTTAATGGCAACTCTAATACACAAACCAATATGTGTTTTCCTCCAAGAGAGCGTTCATCAAAGATGACAATATTCCCAATTCCACGAGCGACCTTAGTCATCGTGTACCCTAGCGGTAAATTGTGGACATGGACCCAAACTCTGCACAATCCAACGGCACTTCAAGGGACATATCAGTACGCCCAAACCTCTTATCACCACTAGGTTTTGTTAAATGACCAGTGTCTTTCCTAAATGACTCTGCTAATATCTCCTTTATGGTAAAACTCAATAAGAAACTTAGATTCACATATCTCATCAATAGAGACTCCCTGAACTGGTCTTCAAACCATAACCATGGTTTCACTATAAGAAATAGGACATATAGGTTTATCCGAAACCACTATGACCACGGTTGAAAATCAAACTCTCTCATCAGCCGCACCAACACTCCTTGCCAAATCCGCTTCGAGAGCCAAGTCGTTGTTCTCTTCCTCAGTATAATTATTACTATATAGAGACCCTAGTGTAATTTTTCTTGAATCTAAAAACATTATAATTGGGAATAGGTGTTAGTACCCTTAATTTATGTCAACACACTTTGAGCTTGGAGAGTTGTACATTACTTTTAGAAAATGAAACATCACTTTTTAAGTGGCTATTTTACCCTTAACTCCGTTAGTTGTTAAATAATATGGAGTACTTGATGATCGAGTTAGTGATATGGAGTACTTCGTATGAGCTTGGCTTGTGAATTACATATGTAGTACATTACTAAAAAGTAATAATCAGACCTCATCGATGCATCACTTTGCTTTCGAATCAATTTTGATCATGTGTACAATATTTAAGATTTTCGGATCTTGTGTAGCATTTAAATTTGGGCCTTTTAAAAAAACGAATCACCTTGATAAAAATGAAACACATGATCTTATCTGAAAACGGGCCCAACGACAAATGCTTTTTCCATACTTTTTTCCCTAAATAATATTACATCCATTACAATTTAATTTTAACTGCATTCTCATAAATGTTTTGTGTATTTTAAATTATGTAATTAACACCATAAAATTACATCTGTGATAAGATATATACTCATGATGCTAACATAACTTTTTATATAAAGTTTTGGGTATATATATTACATGTGCAAGTTTGGGGTACTCATCTCACACATATTCAAAATTTAGGATATTTAAATTCCTTTCCCCAAATATAAAACATGGAGTACATCTTAATCGCACCCATACTAGATATCTCCTTGCTTGTTGAGCACCGATAATTTGATTTTTTTTTTTTATATTTCTACACTTACATATAATAGCCCAATATTCACATAATTTAGTGTGTTCAATAACACGATTGGCACAATTCATTATAAAATCATGTTATCACTACAATTATTTCATAATTAAACCAAAATATTTGGCCAATTCAATAAAATAACATAGCTTTAAAAAATATAGGCAGAATTTTCACGCAGTAGTTGGTGAGTTGAGCATATTATTGATGAAACAATTAATCAAAAGTTTAGGATAATTATATACATTATTTAAAAATCCTCATAGCAATCTCATATATAATAATCTCTCATAAAAAGAGTATGACTTTATCATTGGGCAAATATTCTCGCGCCTTGCGCGAACAAACGCTAGTACTATAAGACATGGGAAAGGTGAACAACTGAATAGTTGACTATCAAATGAGTGAAAAGGCGTAAATCTAAGCGCACATAGCGTTAAAAGGCGGAATGTTTTTAGATAGATTTTTTTTTGTAAAGACAAATTAAAAAAATACTTCATAAACATATTATATATGGAATCTAGTGCAACGTAGTAAGAATATACTACCGGAGTACCTCCGTAACTGATATATCTTCCCATTTGAAAAGTAGGTGAGATTAAGAATAGTGGAAGTAGATATAAATTATTGAGGGTATGTTGGTAAAATAATGTGTTGGAATGAAGGATAAATCCAAAAAAGTAGTTGTAATTGTGTATTATTTTTAAAATTATTGAGGGTATGATGAGAAGATTTGGAAATGAGAAGATATGAATGTTACAGCTAAAAAGGGAAAGCGAGAAGATATGAGTATTACAGAGGGAGTACAATATATCATTTTGTATTAGCAATTTTTATACATTTAAAAATTATATACATTGAATAAAGTAAAATTAGACTCAATATATTGTATTAAAGTCCATCCGTTCGCTAATAATTGTCTCATAATTTTTTTGAGATGTTTTTTACCAATTGCCCCCTTTCCTCTTTTACCAAGCGTTTCCTATCAAAATATATTTATATGTTCACATGTATTATCCTCACTTTTTCTCCTTTTTACAAATTACGAGGACCTTTTATTTTATACTTATTTAAATCTAAATGGACAATTATTAGAGAGGTGGAGCCCATTTTGGACTTTTATTTTTTCTTCACATGTCACTTCAAAATAGGACAAGAAAAGGTGACACGATTATTAATAAAAGTGGTTTATGTGGTTGATATTGAATTGATAAAGTAAGAATAAAGTAGAAATGATTTAGAACCACACAAACTTTACCAAATAAGGTATGAGACAATCTTAGTGGGACGGACTGAAATGGTAAAATGGGACAATCATAACGGGACGGAGGGAGTAATTATCAATATCTATTAGGAAAATTGTCAAATAGGTTCTTGAACTTTCATAAAAAAGTCAATTAAGTTCTTTTATAGGAGGTTTTGTCCGGCTGTCGCGATTTGGGGCAGTTCCCGGTGGAATTTTTTGATGAAATTTTTTGATCATCTTATTCATCAAGCCTGCTTTAGTCATACCAAATTTAAGCTAAAAATTTAATCGAGAGCGCATTCAAATTAATTCGAGAACGCAAAAATGCGTAGTTATCTTCAAGAATTAATCTGAATGTGTTCCCGATTGAATTTTTAGTTGAAATTTGGTATGCGTAAACTAGACTTGGTGAATAAGATGCTCAAAAAATTTCATCAAAAAATTGCACAGAGAAATGCCCCAAATTGCGACAGCCGGACAAAACCTCGGACTTAATTGACTTTTTTATTAAAGTTCAATGACCTATTTGACTGTTTTCATAAATGAGACTTTTTTTCTCTTTTTTGGTCTACCCGGTTCCCGCCCAAAACAGCCTGCCACACGTCATTATCTGCGAAGAACCAGAAGGCAGATGTAAGAAGTCAGAAACCGTCCGCGAAGAAGTCGAGCAACCCCATTACAGAACCTCCAAACCCGAAGGTTTTGTTAATTCTTTTAGGGATGTGTGGTTGTGAATTTTGAGATATTGGTCCGATTTATTGATTATGGATGAGTGAATAGGTGTGGTAATTTTGCTATTAGAGTTAATCTCATTAAATAATGGTTGATAACATTCTATTACAGAGTAAATTGTGAATATGTTAGGTAGGTATTTTGATTAGAGTAGCATCTGGATTCTGCTCTGCCCTACTTTATTTATTTCTGGCTACTATCATTTTTTTTTGTTTCTATTGGACATTTTATATTCTTACTTCCTTATATACGTCTAGCCCATATCTTAACTTGGACTTTTTTTAGGATGACAAATTATTATGAGGTTGATGATATCTTAGCTGAAGAAGAGGTCAGATTATCCATTTCTTGAATTGCATTACGAATCCAAATTTTGTGGAAATCAATACTCTTCTTTTAATTAAACAATTTTTGTGATATTTCTTCTTCTTTTCATGTCTTGATTTTAGCTGGTTCCAGCTGTATTCCAGAAGTCTGCCAATGGAGTCGGGATATTTGATTGCTGTGATGATACAAATAAGGTTAGGACTATTATTTGAAAAAGGCATTTTATAAGTATGAGGGGCTTTAACTGCAAAATCAAAAGATGATAAGGATACTTCAAACTCTAAGGTGGGAGCCGGTACTGAAGTGGAAATGCCCTTTTGGCTTGCATGTGACCTGTATGTTAAACAAGCAGTGAAGATCAAAGTTCCGTCATGTTTTGACACCAAGTAAAGTTTGCATGCTCCCTCTTTGTTTTATCTATGCTGATAATAATGGCATTGCATGATTTAAAAATAGAAATTAGGGAAAAGTACTGAAAAAGTTCTTGTGGTTGGGTCTGTTTTGAAATAGGGTCATGTGTCTCATTTTTTAATAAAGTCGGTCATGCGTTTAAACTCCGTTATCACAGGAGGGGTCTAACGCCTAACGCCATTAAAAACGCCAGAGGAAGACGAAGAATAGTAACTCCGTTTTTCAAAAGTGTCTAAAAAAATTAAAAGAAAAATTCCGGAAGGTGCGTCTCGTCAAGTTGACCTACAAACTATCTTTGTCTTTGGATTTTTTGGATATGTTTGGATTTTATTTTTAAATGAATTCGCTAATATCACTTTTCTAGTGGACTCTCCGGTGACAAGGGTGGCTGGAAACAAAAAAGAAAGATGTTCTAGAGGTTGTCTTGTTGAGGCACACTTCTCATAATTTTTCTTTTATTTTTTTTGGGCATTTTGAAAACCGGAGTCACTGTTGATCGTCTTCCTCCGGTGATTTTTAATGGCGTCAGGCGCCACGACCTTCTTGAGATAACAAAGTTTAAACACATGGTTCACTTTGTTAAAAAACGGGCCCAACAACATGTACCTTTTCCGTGCTTTTCCCTCGAAATTATAAGAGATATGACAATTGGCAATTGTGTTTGTATAGAGTGAGAAGGCGCTGCCCCTTAACTTTGCCTATCTACAGTGTACTGATTGATCAACATGATGCATATATGCATCCATATCAAGAGGGTTCCAATACACTCTTCATTTGGCAGCATTGCAGTACCGTATTTAAAAAAAGCTAACAGTAGCATATGTTAAACTAAAGTATGGGCTATGGAGCTAGTGAGCTAAAATATGTTAAGATATGGGCTATGGAGCCAGTGAGCTACAATGCTCACCTTTGGGTCCAATATATTCTTCATTTTGCATTTTTGCTACTCTGTCACTCTGAATGACCTCATGACAAATTCCAGAAATCTACTTTTATTTAAGTTTTTACTTGTCCACATCATTTATTTCTCAATCTCTATACTGTTCAACAAATAATAATAACGGTCACAAAAGTTCTAAAATTGCAAAACATTTACTCGGTAATTAAGAGATCAACTAAGCTGATATACAGTTTAAGAAGTTTCGTCTTGAACTCCTGATTCATCCCTTGTAGATGCCCGTGCCTCTGAACTAGGTCTTGTTCAGTGTAGCAAATGAAGTGGATTTTTACCTTAACCCTTGCTATACTTGATCTGAACACTTGACAAGAGCTGAGATCAAACATCAAGTTTGCACTATACTCTTCTTTAGTAGAGGCTCAGTGCAAATTATTGTATAATGTCTTCATTTGTGGTTAATATGACCTTCATTTATGCTATGTTATATATATATCTCTGCTCTGGGTTGTCAAATTTTTTATAGCTAGGCTGTATGCCTAAAATTGATTTCAAAAACTCAATTCCTTCTGACCTTTAAAAAGTGAATATTATTGTAATCTATTCACTAGAGAGAGACCAAGAGATAGACACCGCGATGAACCAATAAGAAAAAGGGACAGAACGAAGGATGAAATTGGAGCTGATGCTGCACATGTGGATCTGAGAGGTCGATGCCCATATTTTTACGAATTCGGATGCAAGATAGCAAGACTGTGAGTTACTTATATCTTTCTGCATTATATGGTGCATCAAATAAGGGGTGGACTTGGGCTGGTTCCTGTTCTGGAACTGCAGTTTTCTGGATCATGTTTATGAGAGAACCTTAACTGGAACCGCTTTGCGCCGGTACGGTCTACTTGCAATTCCTGATTCGGTTCCACGGTTCCAGGCTGGAATTATAGTTCATTAGCTATTAAAAAAGTACCTTTGGGGAACTGGAACCGGAACCGCCTGTACTTCTATCATCATTAAACCCGTAACAGGAACCTATATTATATCAGTCTGGTTCTGGTTCTTGCTTATCCGGCTCTGATCTGGTTCCAGATCCACAGGTTCTGACAATTCAATTACCAAATGCGCACACACATAGACACACACACACAATTATAATCAACTCGGTGGTTTTGAATAATGTTGGCATTTTGACACAAATTAATCAAATCAGTAGTGTAGAATCTAAAGTACAAAGTATCTCATACTTATTATGTTTCATGCGTGACAGTCTTTTGTAACTCCGAGCTTGCTAATTTGTTACTCCCTCTGACCCTATATAAAAGTCCCTCTTTCCTTTTCGAGCCGTCCCTAAATAATAGTCCCCTTTCCTTATTTGGCAAACAAAACAATGCAAAACAGTGTCCAAACAGTGCCACCTTCTTAAAATGTGTGTAAAACGAATGGGGACCTTTATATAGGGACGGAGGGAGTATTAGGTACTATGTTGAATATGATTGCCATTTTTTGCTTGCGACCTCATTAAAGCTCAATAGCTGTTGCCGTGCTATGTTTTTGGGTTCTTAGGATGTTTTTACTTGGACTGTAATTTGTCCCAGATCAGACCAGTCCAGACCAGAATGTTTTTAAAGCTCAATAGCTGTTGCCGTGCTATGTTGAATACCTTTTGCTAACTTTAGTACCACAAATAGTACTCCATACACTCGTCTTTTTCCTTGCATATCATGCCAAATATATGCCTAAAGAATACAGATATACAATCCAAAACACATACATACATACATACATACATACGGAAACAAATAACACAAATATTCTACACCCGAAAGCAAGTGCTTCCATAACATATACAACAGTTTTCAAAATTGTGACCACACACAGCTTTCAAAAGCAGAAGACAAAGAAACTGAAATTAGATTTGCACAAAGACGGGCTCGGGCCAGGCTTTTTATAAACATTCCACCCATTGGTGTGGGCGGGTCCGGAAAACTTTGAATTTTTCAAAATTATATAAAAATCTTTGAATATTTTTAAAATATCACAACATTTTAAAAATTGTTAATAAGCTTATAGTGTTTATATGCCACTCACCACATACACAAAAATACTTGCACAAAAATAATCATGAGAAATTATAACTAAAACTTAAAATTCAAGCACAAAGTATTATCTTTAAGTATAAAAAACAGATATTATATTGGTTGGGCTAGTTGTTAAGAACTAAAAACATAAATTTAAACATAATAAACTATAAATATATATATAAATATATATATATATAAAGATAGATTAGTAAACATAGATATACACGTTTACATGTAAATAAATAAATAAATTATTATACATATAAATACAAATATACATGTATATATACTAAATTTAGCGGGGCTGGCATATCGGCCCCTAATGGGCCTACACCCTAACCCAAGCCCACCCATATGCTATTGCAGGCCGGGTCCGGGCCGGTGGATAAATATATATGCCCAAGCCCGCCCATTTGTGCTGGCTGGGCGGGCTGGTCGGTTTTTGTGCAGGTCTAACTGAAATAAATACAACAAAGCAAATCTGATTGTTTGATAACACAATAGTGGTGTGAATCTAGTGTTAACAAAAACCAATAAAATGCTTATCGTCTTTCTGAGTGGCTTAATTTCAAAGCCCTACTCAACCTCCTGTTTAATTGTTATCTTCAGCTTTTTCCCATCTTTATTAGCAGAAAACTCATGCATCAAGTTTCTCTTAATCGGGTCATCCAGATTTATAACAACTTTTTCTGAAAAGATCTCACATTTGGATGACATTAGTTTTTAAAAGCCCCAAGTAACAGTAAGGTTTAGAACAACTTTTGTTCTATTTTTATATGTTAAGAAAACCTTTTGTGCTTTTGAATAACTTATTGACAGACAAAATGGTCTCGTATTACTTCCATAAATGAATATAAGTTTACCTCCTGATAATGGAAAACCAATTCAAGTAATCAAGTGTCTATCCTCCCTTAACATGTGCTGGCACCTCGTAAGTTCTCACAGCTCGTGCCCTCATTGCCCATGTAGACCTTGTGTGGTCTATATCCCGAATAAGAGACCACATACCATTTTTTTGAACTTTCTGCCATTGATGTGTTGTATTGTGCTGAAGAAATGTGCAAAGTAGTTCGTATTTAAAGTAGGTGTGGCTGGGGTGTCCTCAAACGGAAGGCTGTTTTATCCAAGAAACAATGCTATTCCATAAACCTTACTGTGAGTAATTAATGAATTGGATGTAATTCAAGCTAAAAGATTGTCCCTTCGTCCCTTCAGTACAACTATGAAAGCACATGTGAATGACAGCTTCTGCTTTGTGTTACTCTTCTATTGCTAAGTCTCAAGAGTCTCACCTCAACTCAGAGGAATGGAGTTCGTATTTATAGGCGAGGATGGTCAATGACCTGGCCTGGCCACAGCCCCACAGGCCTCTATTGGAACATCAGTTGTCCTTCCATTGAGATTGCCGAGGATGTGTTTTACAGTTTATACCACTCTATAAATCTCACCATCTGTTTGATCGACCCACAGAGGTCAATACGTCAATCAATTTTGTTTGCTTGTAGCTGCGATGCAGCACATCAGGTTTAATGCTTATAGTACACTGGGTTGGCTGGCCCTACTGTCAACTTGATGACTTGCTGCTGCTCTTCCCCCAGATTCTTGGCTGGGCCCATCCGCCGGACTGGTCTGCCTATCATTTGCACTGGGATGAATGCTGCTTGGGCCAGTATCCCAACACTAGTGTTTCATATCATATTTTGATGGTAGTGGGTTTAATGTTGTTTTGTAACTGTAACACTTTTTATTTAAGGGGCAAAAGGCCTCATGGCTTAAAAGCCATAACAATACCAAATTGGGCCCATGTCATTGACATCAGAAGTTGATGTCTTAATGTTTTTCTTCCCACAACCTTTTCTTTTATTTTCTGTCTTTTTAGAACTACTTTGATAAATTGCCTAAACCATAATATTGGGCAGAATCGGTGACAAGACAATAGGGCCTTTTCTGTTGGTTGCATTTCGGACAAGATATAAAGAAGTGTTGATCAAAGCATACACTGCAGCATCTACAGTAGCTATTAAACAATTACCACTTCTAACACAGGAAGAGATGAAATGTAAGTTTTGCTGAACCTGTTTTACCTATATATGTCATCTTGATTCTTAACTACCTTTTCAGTATTTATTTACTTATTATTTAAAAAACATATGCTCATTTTGAAGTGTATGAGGCTGGGCAATCCTCTATAATGGCTTTTAAGAAATGGCGGATGGGTGGACCTAGACTGCAGAAAGCTTCTGTGCTTGGGAGAAAGAGGAAACCAACCGAATGAGTTTTTTCTCTTTTTGTAACCATATCTCAGTTAGTTATTTGCACAAAGTGTACTTAATTATCATCTTAATAGTCTTACACCTCATGATTGATCTTCACATTTGGACAGATATCTCGAATGACAATTCTGAGTATCTTGTATCCTAAAATATTATGTGGCCAGTTCTGTAAATCGTTACAAAAGAGTGATTGTAATAATATACATATGTTTAACATTAAATATTAAGTAAACGTCAGCTTCCGGACAGGTTGAGTTGAGTTGGGAGACAGATGGCTGATTTACGGTAAAGGTGCTGCTATTGGCGACTTACAGGGGAGCTCTCACATGAGGAGTGGACGGGCTGGACGAAAGTGTGGCAATGGAAGTTTCCTCCGAAAATTAAAACCTTCGTCTGGCAGGTTTGTGGTGGTTGTTTACCAACCACATCTAATCTAAGGCATTGTAGGGTGGATTGTCCGGAGGTTTGTGGTATGTACGGGACAGCGACAAATCAGTTTTACACTCATTTGTCCAGTGTCCTTCGGCTCGGGAAGCCTGGTGTAACCTGGCAGTGAGCTGGGCAGGTCAGTCGAGTGACTCATTTCATGGCTGGTTGCATGCTAATTTTCGAGTAAGGAAGGAGGACATGTGTATTTTAATTTGGGGTTGTTGGGGTTTATGGCGTGAGAGGAACCAGTGAGTTTGGTGATGCGTTGAATCGGAGGTCAACCAAGTCGTACAGCGGACTATGGCTTTCGTAGAAGGCTTGATCTAGGCGCAACAAGTTGGTAGCAGAGGGGACTGTAGTTCCTCTCGTTGGCAGCTTCCGGCTGAAGGTAGGAAGAAACTTAGAGCCCGTTTGATAACACTAAATCGGTTGAATAGGTTGATTCTATTGAAATTTATGAAGTTCTGGTTGAAGTGACTGTATGACATGATTCTGCTGATTTATGAAAAAATTATATTTAATATATATTTTATTAATAAAATAAAGAAAAAAAGTATATAAAAAAATAGCTTAGGGTTTAGGGTTTAGGGGGTGGGGGTGGGGGGTGCAAATCAAATCTCGAAATCGGAGAAGAAAAACCACGACTTGCGTGCGCGGGCGACCTGCAGACACGCATGTCGTCCAAAAATCTATCTCTCAAGAGATATGGTTTAATTTTTGTTTTCTTCTCGAAGTGTTTATTTTTTCCCGGCGGTGGAAGTGTTCGGACAGAAGGCTATGAAACAGAACCCCTCATATGGTGTTCTGCTGGCTTCGGACAGAACCTCTCGTAGGGTGTTTTGTTGGGAGGTCTTTTGGTCGCGTTCTGAACCGTTACAGTAATAAATTTCCAACGTTCTTATCTTTTAAAGTTTTAATGCAACGTTAAATGGACAGTTCATGGACGATTCAATGCCCAACGGACTGGTCATTGATGTCCAACGTTCAGGTCCATTAAATCACCATTTACACACAACAAATCCTCTTATATAATGGCTGACAAGTGATTTGCAACAACACACTTTCTTCCACGCTCTTACACATTCCTCACATATTTCTCAGCTCTAAAAACACCTCCAGTCCTCTGAAAATTCCTGAGAGTTCAAACTTTGTTCTCGTTCACTGGAACTCTTGTTTGTGTGCTCAAACATTAGTTCGTAGTCATCGTATTCTGGGAAACGATTGTTGCAACGCTCCTAGCACCGTGGGAGACAACAGATACGTTTTAAGGACATCGTGCGTAGCATGAGCTTTGACTAATTTCTGCTCCATCTTATTTCTGTTTCGTCATTTTAATTAAATTATTTTAATTAATTTTCTTTATTTTCGGAAACACACCCAACAACAACTACACAAAATAATCAAAACTAAAGTGAAAGGGAAACTAAACTAATCTTTTACAAAAAAAAAGTTATAGTAACTATGCAAACTAATCTCTTCTCGCACAAGTGATACTTCGTATATATTTTACAAATTATATGGTACATAGTATATACTCCCTCAGTCCCAAATTGTAAGATACATTCACTATTCACTTGGTCAACATAAATCACTCCTAAACTTTTATTTTATATATCAAAAGTTTATGAAGTTTGAATTATTTTTTGCAGGTTTTGTAGCGAATTTAATGTAGTTTTTGAATATGTAAATTTTATTTTCTAGAACTAATTTGGGTGTTGACAGGGATCAATTTGCTTTATCGTCAGTCAAACATCGTAAACCGAAATGTATCTTACAAATTGGGACGGAGGGAGTACGTAATATATGAAGTATTTACATACGTAGTAATATATTAAATATACAATCTATAAAAATATATAAGATGATATTGCGGGACAGGTAATGGTGCGGGTAATTGTACTTGGACTAAATGGGGCGATTACGGGGCGGGTAACGGGGTGGGTAAGTATAAAATCGTGCCCGTCCTATTACACATTTACATAAATCAGGCATTCCCCGTCCCGTACCCGTTACCCAAGTCAACACGGGTTTTTCCCATTTTGACCGGTTTGGTTCAATGCGGGTATCCATCGGGTCAGGTTACATTGTCATGCCTAGGCGTGGATCTTGCTGCTGGTACTGATGACGCCATCTCTATGCTTTTGTAGTAGGAATTATTTTTGTAAAATGTTTAAAAGTAGGGATTATTAGTGTCAATTTCGCCAAAAATGTACTTCGTATCAAGTAAACATAAACTCTACTAATGAGGTCCAATGGAATAATTGCCGAAAAACATTTACCCAGTTTTATCAGTTCGTATACCGTGGGATCATCCCACGGTGAGCACCATGCTCCACCTTCAAAACGACATTTTAATCAATGTTTTTTTTTTAAATCGCGTGAACAGTACACGCGTGAACAATACTTCTTTTTTATTTTTCTCTTGTTTCAGTTGCAGAATGGTGTAACTCACGTGTAAAGAAATGTAACTCACATTATTGATGAATGTAACTCAAGTCTAGTCAAAGGTTCTATTGACCTTTTCAAAAACATGATACCTCTATTATTTTTGGACCATTCTTGGTTTACACAAGTTGTACACAAAATGTGTACATTGTCCGTGTACACAGACAATTTGACATCAAGTACTGCCGCTTTTTAAAGGAGGGTTTTGTGTACACTAAGCATTTTCCATTATTTTTTGCAAAAGAAAAAGATAAACTGCGCTGAACCCAGAAATACAGCGACCCACACCAGTACACCACTGCCACACCACGCCTTCACCACTCCAAACAACCACGTTCCAAAACCACAACTAATGACTCAAATAGGATCAATAGCAAAGTTAATTGCACATTTAGGACTACAAACGAAACATAACTTTCATAGGACTAATTTCAATACAGTTGGACAAAACTACCCCTCTTTTAATTTTTTAAATTTAAAAAATGTAAATTAAAAATTATTGAAACTAGCACCGCCGCTGCTGGAGCCAAACCGCTGCCTGCCGCCCTACGTCGGCGCAGCCTGCCGCCACCCTTGCCGCCTTGCCGGTGACGGAACCACCCGTCGCCGCCCTCGCCGCCTGCCGCCGCATCCTTGCCGGCGACTGTCTCCATCCATCACCGCCACCTTGCCACCTCCGTTTCCCATCCACCAGCGTCGCCATCCACCGTCGCCGCCACCACCTCTCACCGGCACCGCCATCTATGCCATCAGAATCTGACCGGAGTCGTCATCCACCGCCACCACAATCCTCTGAGCACTGTCACCACTGTGACAACTTAGGCGGAATAAATCTGCCATTAAGTTGGCAGATTTATTGTTGGAGATTATATTCACATCTGCCATGAACAAGAGTTTCAAATTTGCCAAAGAGTTGGCAGATTTATATTGAAATTTTAACATAAAACTTCCATAAATTTGGCAAAAATAGAAAAACATGGAATAAATAACCAATTACTCAAAGGACAATTTTTTTTAATGGAATAAGCATTTTTAACACAATCGAAAATTAGAAAAGAGAAGTTGTTGACAAAAAATCAGAAAAATCAATTTATACAAAAGCATTTCTGCCATAATTTTGGCCAAATATGAAGCAATCATCCAAAAAAAATTGAAAATCGGATTTTTTTCAAAACTGAGATATTAGAATCCAGAAAATTGAAATAGAACTCCGAAAATTGGAAAAATCAATTCAAAATCCAGAAAAACAAAGGAAACCCGGATAAGAAGAAGAAGAAGAAGAAGAAGAATAAGAAGAGGAAGAAGGAGGAGGAGGATGAGGAAGGAGGATGGAGGGGAACCTTAGTGGCAGCAGCATATGGTGAAATTGACAGCAACGGTGGCGTGAGATGGCAAAGACAGCGGCGGCGTGAGATGGCGAAGACAGCGGCAGCGTGAGATGGCGAAGTCAGCGGCGGCGTGAGATGGCGAAGTCAGCGGCGGCGTGAGATGGCCGGAGAAGGCGGCGGTGATGGTTAGTGCGAAGTTGATTGATGACGCGCAGAGAAGAAAGGGGGAATGTGCGCAAGAGAGAAGGTGGGGGTGGGGGGGGGGGGGTGCGCACAGGAATAAGTGGAATGGAGAGGTGCGTAAAAAAAGAAGGATAATTGTGGAATGGAAAATACGCAGGTTTTAGAATAGGAGTAAATTAGTCCCATTTGGGGGAAAAAAATGGTCCTATTTAAGAATTTCTCCCATCTTTTAGTCGTATATAGGACAATTACTATTTTTTTTCTTTCGAAAGGGCCGTATTCTTGTACTATTGTAAGTTGTAACCTTCTTCATTCCCTTCCATTTTCGGGGTGTTTGGAACTCATTTTGCTTCTGGTTCTTTTTTTAAAACAGAAGTATAATCAGAATCAGTTTTCAGAAGCTGGTCTTCTAAAAACTGATTCTAGGAGTAAATTAGAGAAGCAGAAGTACTTCTGCACTTTCACCCAAACACTCCAACTTCTATTTCTGCTTCTATTTTATACTCATAATTATTACTTTTTTTAATCTTTTTTTCATTTTCTATTGAAATTGCAATTTGGAAATCTATTATTATTGTTTTTCTTTTTGCCTATTTTACATTTCTAATTTTTCTACTCCCTTAACAAGTACGTAGTAACATTTTGCTCAAACGCTAAAAACAAGTTTTTGAAAGGCAAAATCGGGCCCAAGGCGGTTGGTGGTAGCCTCTGAAGCATAAGGAGCATAAAACTCAAAATGAATTGTTAAAATATTGGCACAACATATCAAACACACCTCCGTCACCAAAATGTTTGCCTTATCGACTTTTCGTGGTCAATGATAACAAATT